GGCCGCCGCAGGCGTCCAGTTCCCCCCTGCTCGCCCCTGGCAGCTCACGGCAGAGCCGTCCTCAGCCTTCACTGAGCCGGGTGGGTGAAAAAGGGGTGCATCCCTTCTCCATCTTCCTTGGGCCTCTTCCCATCCCGTTTTTTTACTGCTTTCACAGGGGCACGAAGCGCTGCCTCGCTCAGGGCAGCCCTGTGCTTGCTCCCGTCCTGCCCTGCACCACGGTCTCCGCAGGCAGCAGGCAGTGTCACAACCCGGCGTCCCATCTGCTCCTTGCTCGAGTGACAGCCGTGGCCAGAGGAAGCGAGACATCGAAGGTTGCCACGGCGTCTGCCCCTGCGGGCAGTGCAGCCCCTCTCCGCACCCCGGGAGGACGGAGGAGATGCAGGCAGGGAGAGCAAGCCTTGCCCAAAGCGTGTGCGTCGGCGGGCTGCGCCGTGGGGTGTGAGCTTGCGGGAGTGAGGAGCTGTGAAAAGGAGAAGCCGTATTCAGAGGAGCTTCTTTTGCAGTTAAGCGTCCGATGATTTCTTGCATTTCGAGACTTCTTTCCTCCCTATTTTTGTCATTAAGAAATTCCAGCTCTTAGAGTTTTGATAAGGACTTTCTAGCCTTAGTTAAGAGACAGCTTCTAACATGGTTTTCTTGAGCCTGCATGTTGCAGGTTTTAGCCAGGGTTCTGCATTAATCCAGAGGCAGTGAGCAAGCATCTGAGATAGTCATGATGTCCCCATGTTTATACTGGTGTGTGGGACACACAAACACATCCACCAGCCCATGGCTCGCTGTTTAGTTCTCCTTTCACGCTGATGTTGGCTGAGCAGGAAGGGCTTAACAGTCCTGGTTTCTGGTGCTGCCAGACCCAGATAGTGAGCTTCAGATCCTTCTGATTTTAAATGGGTGGGGATGAGAGTGGCTGCTGGACAGGGAATCAGAGCATCCATAGGCAAAAGCATGGGTAGCTTCCCTTTGTAGGCCCTAATGGAGTTAAAGCATCCCTACCGAGGAACACGTAGGCACATGCTGACGTACTTTCCCGAGCAGTATTTCTGCTGCTCCTTTCCATGGGTTGTCAAAATTGCCCCATATTATATCGTATCCGCTCCAGATTTCTTGAGTAAACGTTTGTCCCAGGTGCAGCACCGTGCATCTCCACCTGTTTGCTCGGAGCGATGCTTTGGTCCGCCGCTGCAGCCCGTCAGGCTGCAGGCACCACCTGGGCAGTGCAATAATCCAAAAAATGGCTGGAGCTCTTCCGTGCTGCGCAGCACCGCGGCGGCGGCTGGGTCAGCAGCTCGTCACAGCGCAAACGGCTGACGGGTTTCTCGTCGGCACAGCAGATTGCGGGTTGGTTTTGTGCGGGTTTCTTTGGAGGTGAAAGCCAGCGCAGTCAGCGGCGCACAGCTCTGTTGTTGCCACCCAGGGTTTCGGGCCGGCCGAGTTGAGTCCGAGCTTGCCCTGTGTGTGTGCGTGCATGAACAATCTCATCGGGACCGGGTCTGGTTTGTATTTTGGGGTTTTATCAACCGCTGGGAAATGATTATTAGCCCCTTCCTCCATCGGAGAGATGTTTGTTGCCCTCCCCACGTGCTGTTGCTGCTTTCTAAGGATCATGACATTTACGGTAAGAGATTACTTGAAACGAGCAACAACTTTACTGAGCCTTAAGAGAAAGAGAAAAACAATAATGTTTTAATTCTTTTTTTTTTTTGAACTTTGCACTCAGGCTATTTTAGATGGTGATTCTTTAATATAAATTCCCCCCTGCCTTTTTTTTCCTTCCTGAGGGAGTCAGCCTTAAATTTGTGAAATCTGTGGACGACTCTGGGGTGGGTTAAACCTCTTCGCAAAGCAGGTAGATGTGCTGTCGTTAAAAAGTTAGCCTGAAAAATTCACACGGGCTGAAGCACTACTGAGGGCCTCCGTATCTCCGCCGTCATCATCAGCTTCACCTTTCTCTTTCCTCTCTCTTTTTATCGCGCTACCCAAGAAGGTTGTTTCAGACGACTTTGGAAATGCAGCGCGCGGTTGGGATCGTTGCAAACTCGCGCGGTGGTGTCGCTTCTGAGCCCTTCGCTTGATACGAGGTAAAGGCAGGATGGGACTGTTAGGGGCTTTGTAAACAAAAATAAAAATGAAACACTGCAGCACTTACCTGTGAGCCCAAACCGGCGTGCTCGGAGCCGCTCGAGGGCGCGCGGGTTCGGCGGTGGAGGGAGGCGAGCTCCCGTGCTCGCTCCGCGGCTCCCCCCGGGTTAGAGCAGCTCCCGCTCTCCCAGCACCTGGCTTTTGGGGTGGGGGAAAATTGAGGGATTTTTTTTTTTTTTTAATGCCTTACTGTAATAGCATCTATCTCTAAGCATCAGTGGCATTGTGCTCTTTCTTCAGCGCCGCGTGGCTAAAAGGAGGAAAGCGTCTTAAGGGGACTCTCCTCCCGCTGGGTGTCTGCATGCCTGAAAAACTCGGTTTAGCTGTAGCCCGCCAGCGTGGCCCTGAGCCGCGCGCGCGTCTCCTGGCACAGTTCGTTGCAGAGTTTTGTCTGGCTGTGCTCGCTGAGCTAGTCAGGGATCGCCTCAGCTCCGCAGGGCCCTCTCTGTGCCCCCTTTGCTTCCTGTGGCTGTTTGCACAAAAAATTCAGCGAACACCGAAATGCGGCTCCATCCCTGCAAGAGGGGTGGCAGGGGAAGGAGGAAATAGCTCTCAGTCTCCTTCCTTGTTTCTCTGAGGCCTTTGTTTTCTTAGAAATTTAAATCTTTGTCATGTTGTGTGTGTTACTATGTAGTTTTTTTGTCTTTTTTTCTTTTTCTGATTAGATTTCGGCTGCAAATTCCTTTCTATCGTGCAAGAGTGTGTGTGTGTGCGTGTGTGTGTGTGTGTTCATATAATTGTATAGTGTTTACGTAGAAATACTTAGTATGTATCTATTGTACACATATATAAATACCTGTGTTTTATGTTCGTATGGCTATATACTGTACATAGCATATATACTTGAGCAATATAGGTTAATATATACTGTGTGAGTACATGCGTGTATACTCTAGGCACACGCTCTGTGTGCGTGTGTGTATATATGTAGTAAGTGCTGTATACACACATGTATTCACCATATATTTTTAATTCAAGTATATAGGCAATATGAATACTTAGATACGCTGTCTGGATTTCTCTACGCATTTTTAACAAAGAGCAGCAGCAGAGCTGACTTGAAGCAAAGCTGTGGCTCTTCCACTCGCTGCGAGCAGGCAGAGACCTAGAATGAGTTGCGGACTAATGCATCTGCAACATCGTTTTTTTCTTGTCTGCTTCAGACGCACCCTGGTCCTCCTCAGTTTGGTGCACCAAGCACAGAGACTTTAGAAAAAGTTGCTCCTTTTTCTCTATTTTAGTTGCTGCCCTGAATTGCTTCAGCCTGTATGTAGCGGCGGGTCATTTGTAAGTGCCTCTTCCAACCCCAGGGACCAACTGGTTTGCAACGGGGCTTCCCCTTCCTGCAAGCACAAAACCGGGGCGTGCGGTGGCTGGATCTCCCCGGCGGCCTTCGGCAGCGAACGCACAGAGCACCCTGGCGATGCCGGGCGCTCGCCTGCCCGGGCAGCGCTGCAGGGAAGCACCGCGCGAAACCTTCCCCCAGGTGAGGTCTTTGGAGATGACGGAGCGCGTTTTTGTGGGTCCAAAGGAGCCAGGGCGGGATGGACCTCCCCAAGCACTCTGCATGCAAGAGTGCACTCGTGTTTTCTCATGCATGTGTGATTTATTGGCTGCCTTTTACCAGAGCGGGGTTTTGCTTTTTCAGAGAGAGGTCTTTTTTCAGTAGATGTGGCTGTTGGTGGTTTGATGGCCAGAAGACTAACCAGTGCTAATGCAGATGTTTGCTATTTATTGGAAACCTAGCATTTGTTGGCCTGCTAGGAGGTTTAAGTCAGTGGGTTATTTTTAAATAGATGAAAGTGGAGGAGGGGCTTTTTTCCGTTAAAAGTAATAGAGGCTATTTGAACTCAGTAATTGGAAATACGTGGTCTTTGCATCTTGTCGTTGGCGTTCCCTGCTGGAAACAGCAGGCAGTGCCATTTGTTAGATTCCAGATGGGAAAAGGTTTCTACCCAAAATGTCACCTAGTTTGATATTTCAGTTATGCTTTATCACATACATGCAACAAGTGTGTTTGCTGGGGGTTGTTCCTTGCAGCTTATGTTTCAACATGAGGTTGCTAATTTTCTGCCTGTCTCATAAATGCATCCTTTACTAGGTTTGTGCATCTTTTTCTTTCAGAAACTGAAGTCAGTTTGGTTTGCAGTTGATAGTGTTTCTGAAATAGTCTACTCTTAAGTGGTATGTGAGGATCTTCCTTGCGGAGGGAGGTTTTAATGGAAGTGTTCTGCTTTGACTGGAACGCAGAGATTGCAGAAACCGCAGTGGATGACATTAGTATTCAGATGTACTTAGTGGCA